TTTTTTTTTTTTTTTTGAAATTAGGCCATGGATGTTGATCTAGTTGTAGCAAGGCATCCATCGGCAATACTTTCTTTCTGCATATAGAGTATATATACCCTTTGTCTTTGAGCCTTGAAAATTTTCTTTTCTTTTGATCTAAAAGTAAAATTTATTGACTAAGTAAGACAAGGTCATCTGACATGTACAAAGACATGGAAAGCCTTAATGCTTTATCCATAAATAAGTTCTTACGACTACATATAATACTGTATCAAGTTCCCAGGATGGTCTCGGTTTAATATGCAGTGGCGGAACTAGGATTTCTCCTTAAGTAGGGCTTTTTTGTCTTATCTCCACTTAATATATCATAATTACATAAAATAAATAAAGTAGATAAAAAATTAAAATACAAAAAACTAAATTGTAACACAAATGAAAAAGCAAGGACCACTACTAAAATTCTAACCTTTAGCATCATGGGAGCATGTTGCTAAAAGTGCTTGTCATGTTGGTTATAGCCTTTAAGGAACATAGCTTTTGTTCCTAAAAGCTTTGTTGGAAAAGCTTTGGTGGTTAATACATTAGCAACAACTATTTTGTTGTTGATGTATTAGCAACATGCCCTTTGTTAGTGAAAATATATTTTCAACAACATAATTTATGTTGGTGATATTTTTTACCAGATTCCGGTAATTAGTGCTGGAGTTTATTCCACCATTTTCAGCAACAAAAGCCACGTTACTGAAAATATGATTTCAGCAACGTTGTTTTTGTTGCTAAAAGTTTAAGGGATAGAGTGGTTTTTCACTTTTCAGCAATGTATTCCTTATTGCTGATTGTACAGTTTCAGTAACGTAGTCCAAGTTGGTAAAAAAATTTACCAGATTTCGGCATTGGAATTTTACCAATTTTCAGCAACAAGAGCCACATTGCTGAAAATATAAGTCACGTTGTTGAAACTATATTTTCAGCAATGTGACTCATGTTGCTAAAAGTTTAGGAGAAATGGTGGTTTTCCACTTTTCAGCAACATATGCCTTGTTGCTGATTGTCCATTTTCATCAAATATGAAATATCTTGATATCTTATATATAATATAATTATTTATATGTATAATTAAAAAAATTATAACTAAATATTAAATATTTACTAAGTTTAACTTAATTAATTTAAATTAAAAAACATAATTTGATTACTGCATGATTATGTATTTTAGCAAACTTAAATTTTATTTTATTAAGAATTACATATAAATCAAATAAAATAACAAAATTATTAATTACTATATATAATTATTTATAAGTATATTAACTTTCAAATAAATTGATATCAACTTAATAATGTAATATTTACAAAAATATAATTTAAATATGCTTAAATGTATTCAATTATTGATATATATATATATACATATGGATTACATGTGTTAACAAAGGAAAAAAAGAAGAAGAAGCTGAGAGGCGCGTAGATCTTCGCCCATTTGCAGCAGGCCGCGCCAAGAGAAAGAAGGCATCCAGATTGACAATTGTAGAATACATTTGCTACCCGAAAAAAAAAAAAAAAAGCTAGCTGAGAGGCGCACAAATCTGAGGACATTGTAGCAAGCTGTGCGAGGAGAAGGAAGCTAGGCTTATGGGAAGAGAATTACAAGATACATGTGGTAAAAAAAAAAAAAAAACGAGGCTGAGAGGCGCGCGAAGCAGAGGAAATTGTAGCAGGCCACGCGAGGAAGGAAGCCATGTAGGAAGAGAATTGCAAAATTCATGGAGATGGTGGGATATATAAAGAACTTTCAACAACATAGCTCTGTTGCTAAAAGTTTACTCCCTATTAGCATCTTAGACCATTTTGCTAAAATCCATTTGAATTTGAATCTCATTCCTCATCACCAACATGTATTATATTGCTAAAATTTGAAATCAGAACCACTCCCGCCTTACCACCAAATGATTAAAATTATTATATTTTAAATAATTCTTAATCTTTAAAAAATTTATTTTTATAAATAAACTTTAATTTATTAGTTGGTTTTATTTCATTTATTAAATTTTATTTAACACATGGCAAATTAATTAATATATTTACATTAGTTATTAACATATTTAGATAATTTAAAACTCTATCTTTTTTTTTAAAAAAATATATATGTGGACATGCATGAGGTGGCCAATCATTAAAAGGCATTAAGAACAATAATATATACTTTATATAAAATAATAAACCTTAAAAGTATAAAAATCATCAATTCTATATTAAATTGATCGGATTATATCGTAGCCTTAAATGGCTAAATCAATTCATAATTAAATAAAAATAGCAATCCCATAATGAATATTTGAGTATCCAACATTATAAAATAAAATTAAAAAACAAGCAAAATTGGTTCAACAATAAAAAATCTCAAGTCTTTTTCCTTTTGTTGTTGAATTCCTTTTAGTCGTCTCTCTTGGTCTTCTCCTAAAAGCTCTTAAACTGATTTTTAAATGGATATTTATAGAGTTTAAGAAATCTATTAGAAACGAAATAGAACTTTGAACAAAATAGGAAACTTGAATTTTTGGGCGTTGAACGCATGGTGTCCACACTGTAAATTACATGTCGACACTTCACGTGTGTCGGGTTTCTAGCCTATTTCTGTAATTTCTTCAATGGTAAAATTGCAGATCTAGTCCTCTATAATTTGTACGATGATCACTTAGATCCAGAAGCTTAAGTTTCATTCATTTAGGCCCAAACAAGAACCTTTCTTCTTGCAATTCAGTTCCTAAACTTTCAAAAGATGTTCAATTAATCTCAAAAACTCTTATTATTATGTATTCAAGTCTTTTTCTGCAGAAATAATGAAAACCATGCAAAATCTCATAAAATTCATCTAAATATTAATAATATCAAAGTAGAAATTCTACATTAATATATATATATATATAAATTCAGCTCATCAATGACAATTTGCATATTCTAAACTTGAAACTTATAACAATTCAGTTAATCTTACTAGAAACCATTCAATCCCTATTGACATATACACCATGTCGTAACAAATTAAAATCATGTATCCTGTGTAAAATCATATAAAATTATGTAATATGGTAGTAAATGATGTGCACCAATGTGAAATGAGAAATAAGGGAAGGAAAAGAAAGGAAAAAATTATACCATCATATTGTCTGTCAAAGTATTTTTGACTTTCCATTAAGCCATCAAAGTAGTCTTGACTGTTCATTAAGCAAAAGAAAAAAGAGTTTTGAAATTTGTAAAAGTAATTTTTTGTAAATTAAAATATAAAAATAATTATGTGGGGATGAAAAAAGTGAATTAAATTGAAATAGTAAGAGAAAAATAACAAGAAATTAAAAAGTGTGGAAGGTGTGTATATATTGGCATAAGAAAGATGTATATATATGGTGCGTGATGGAGCTTTCACCAACATACTTACTATGTTGCTAATTAGTGTTTGAGAAGGGTAGCTACTGGTTAATGAATAATAGCAACATGGGTTATGTTATTGATATATAACATTAGCAACATAACCCATATTGCTAATGTTGGAGGCTACTGGAAAATTTCAGCAACATGGTGCTTGTTACTGAAATTTACTTTCAACAACAAGGGGTATGTTACTGAAGGTGAAACTAACTTTTTTATTGGACTTTGTACCATGGAGCCATCAACAATGTATGCCTTGTTGCTAAAAGTGAATTCCAGCAACAATGAATATGTTGCTGAAAGTGGAACTAACTTTTTGATTAGAATTTATACCATAGAGCCATCAGCAATGTATGCCATGTTGTTGAAATTCACTTTTAGCAACATATACCTTGTTGCTAAAAGTGAAGCTTACTTTTTGGGTGGCCAGTGTACTATAAGCTATCAGCAACATGGGCTTTGTTGGTGAAAACCTATATCAGCAACAAGCAATTCCATGTTGTTGATAGTTAGTTGCTAAAAAACAGAATTTTAGTAGTGGACTAGATGAAATAAAAAAATTACAAATCCAATTGAAGAATTAATGTTGGCTATTCCATTTTAATAGATTAAAATATTGAAAATGTTATAGTTACTATACCACCTAATATTATAAATTTATAATAATATATATTATTATATAATTAATTCTTTTTATTTAAGAATCTACTTGTAATATTATATGTCTATACTTATTTAATATTACATTATACTTATGTAATGCCATGTCATGATTAGCATTGAACTATAGTATATTCTTTTAAAATATATGAATTCCTCTTTCTTCTCTGATGGCACCCAAACCTAATCAAACTCTCAATCCTCTAGTCTTCTTCTATTGCAATGAATTAAGTGAATTAAGAAGGATTTGTGTAAATTCTCTTCTAGAAGCTTTGTGAAGGCCTAGTTGAATGATGTATTGAAAGCTAATCTGGATAAACTATGGGATAATATTGAGAAATTTGTATTGGTTAATACTTGGCTTTTAAGAGATCTAATTGAGAGGATATAAAATAAAATTTTAACTTTTTAAAAATGAGTTTCATTGACTTTAAAAGTTTAAGTCATTTGAACAAAGCTATGGAAGTGGAGGTAGCTAGAAACAAAGAGAAAAAAAAAAGTGGAAAAGAAGGAAATTGTAACTATGAGAAATTATAAATCAAAATATTTGTATTGGTTTGCTACAAGGAGTAATAAATTTTGCAATGACATTTTTCAAGGTATTAAATCTATTTTTCTCTTATATTTTAGTTATTCAAGGTATGGGTTACATATTTATTTTTTTAATTTTCTTTTCATTTTAATATTTTATATTTTTTTGGTGTTTTTTTCATTTTAATTTTTTAAAATCTTAAATATTTTATTTTCCTTCAAATTCATCCAATTACAAGATAGAACTAAACAATTAAATTTTTTTAGCCAGGGTAGGACTTATATCTAACCTTGGGCCAATGTGCTTCCGCCCCCTGTTAATATCTAATATCTTCTCTTTTCTAATAAAAAAAAATAAAGAAGAAGAAGAAGAAGAAGGAGAAGAAGAAGAAGGAGAAGAAGAAGAAGAAAACTACATATAATACTGTAGAGCACAAACGGAGAGATAAAGAAAAGGTTAAATCCATGATTTGGTCCTTGAATTATTATATGAATCTCGATTTGATCCTTACTGTTTACTAATTTGCTCCAAATTAATCCTTTCATATAAAAAAAGAGTTGATGCCTTTAGTATTTAACAGTAAAAAACAATAACTTAACAGTAAAAAATGATTATGTGTCATGTTAATAATGAGACACGTCAGCTTTTTTTGTATAGAAGGACCAACTTAAGTCAAATTGATAAACAGTAGGATCAAATCAAAGATCTATACAATAGTTCAGAAATGAAATTAAAGATTTAACCTAAAGAAAATAAAAAAATAAATTAATTTTAACATCACATCAACATTAAAGAAAAGTGACGACAGATGTGCATACTGGTTGGTCCTCGGTTTTTAGTATTTGTAGAAGTTAGTTTGGGGTTTGATTTTTATTAATTAATTATTATTATTATTATTTTCATAATTTCTCGATGTTTAACCAAAAAAAAAAAAAAGAGTGATGAAGGTTTTATATTCAGTCACAGGAGTAGTTATTGTTATTACAGATTCCTTTAATCAGATGTTTTAGAATTAGACCCCTCTCAATTTATTTTAAAATATGTTAATATGATTTTCACGATTTACTGGCTTGAGCACCCATTAACTCAAGACAGTAAAAGAATTTTGCGTTTCTTCTTCTTCTCGGTATGTCTCACAAGCAAACTTGGAGAAACTGCTATAGTAAGGCAAGAGGAGACAAAGGGAAAGCTGTGGGGAAGAAATTAGAGTAGATGGAACTGAGATATTACTAGACTACCATAAAACAACAAGATTAAAAGTTTAAGGAAAGAAAGGAAAGGACGAAACTGAGAGAAAATGGGTAAAGAAAAGTAAAGGGAAGAAAAGAAGGAAGAAACGGGGGAAAAGAAAAGAAAGAGGGAAAGATCTAGAAGGAAAAAAAAAAGGAGAAGGTAAGGTGGAAGAACGGAATAAGCAAAACAGAAACCGATCGAACAACACACAAAGGTAAAGAACGACTACCAAGCTCAAAAGGCGACTAGAGAGCCCCTGAGCACTCTCGAGCTGTGTAAGTTGGCCTTGAAGAATTAGTACTTCGGTAGAAAGAGAATGAAGATAAGCAACGGTAATTCAGTTTATGTCGGACGGCTGCCGTACGGTGCCACTAGGATACCATTCTTCGGTTCTTCGGCATTTACTGGAAGAGATTATCTTCACTGGGGAATTCTAGATACTAAAGCATGTTAATGCAGTTGACCTGCAGATTAAGAAAATCTTTTTTTAGTAACAACTGCATTAAATGATCAAATATAATTATTAAATAAA